GTGTACACCAGTGTATATACGCGTCAAATGAACTGCCCTGGAGCGGTATCCAGTCCAACGGGTTGTTGGGGGAGGCGGCAACACACAGAGGGCTCAGAGCTGCACGTAGAGCAGCACTGGTTTGTAGTGGTGCATGCAGAGCCGCCCCGGGTTACCAGCGTTCTGTGGAAGGGGTGATAATCTTTGGAGTGTACTCTTGAAGCCTTTGCCTGCAGTTTCCATAGTCTGTGCATCTTCCCTTCTAAGGGCGATGAATTGGTGCGTTTTCCGTGTTGTCGGCTATTCACGACTTTCGTTCTCACTAGAAGGTTGGGGCCGTTGTGGTGACGACGCAATTTTTCGAAGCCCGTTCCTTGTCGCAGTGCAGCACAGAGTTAGACATGCTGTGAGCACGTGACGTAGGACTGTTCTATGCAAGTGGTGCATGCATATTAGCTGACTAGGGAGCAGCACTCAACAAGAGAAACCGACTTAGGGGGGGAGTTTTCAGTAATATCTGTCTTATGCGTCCATTGGGCGATAACGGTCCAATTAGCAGTTTTAATTCAGCGGGAACTGTTAGGCGTTGCCGCAAGTCAATTAGCCTCCTGGGAGCTGGGTGGAGGACTGCACGATCTGCATCTTGCCAGTCTGCCGAAGCATCTAGATGCAGAAGCACTGTATCAACTTCCCTCTCAACTACGGGAATTTGTGGGCCCTACATTTTTAATGGAATCATCTCTGGTTTCCGTGAACGACTGCGGCTGGCGCAGCGCCAGTGAGGCGGCCGCACTGACTTCGTCCGCAAGAAGATGGAAAAATAACTTTAAAAATGGCGAACAGTCTAGGCAGGTCCTGGGAGTTGAAGGGAAAACAGTGAGCTGGCCCAAGTCTCAGTTGGATTTGCCTTCTTTCCCATACTATTATTTGGCAAACGCGTGCTATGCAGAAGTGACGATTCAGTCAATAAGATGATTGCCCAGCAGCATGTTCTAATGGACGCTGAAATAACGTTTACTAACCGATAGGCGAATTCGAAGCGTTTGCGGACCGAACGGGCAGATGCTGCGCCCCGTCAGGACCCAGCAGTGGCTTGACTACTCGGGAGGCCACTTGGTAGTCGGCGACGAAGTATGTGCGTTTTTCGCTTCCTGTCTTTGCTTTTTTCATCCTTTTGGAAGGTTTTTAGGCATAATATACAGCTTTTAGTACCTCTTCTGACTCGTGTCTGGAGGCCTTCGTTGCCCCTGCCTTGCGCCACGCTAGGTCGAGCCTATCGACCGGCGCGGATCACCCAAATTTGCAGAATATTGCTGCTGCTTCCATCTTGGCGTTCTCGGCTTAATCATTTGGACGTTCCTCTCAGGAAAAATAGGACACTTCGGCGATCTGCCTCCAGTGGAAGGGTTGTCGCCGTCCCACGGCGCGGGCGCTTCTACCGTTGACACGGCTTAGGCGATTTCGCCCTCTCGTGCTGACTGAACAGCCTAGAACTCCAGAGGAGGAGCGCTTTTCGCCTGCAGATGGCTGAGGACGTCACTTTGGAGGGGCGTTTGGGCATGCCCTTGGGGCTGCAAAAGCTTTTGTTCTGAGGCTCCTAGACGAGCACACATCTAGTTAGTCCCTTGCTGCTGACGTGACTTCTGATGAGCACAGTCCTGGCTCGCCAAGGATTGTACAGCTAACTTTTCCAGGGTTGTTGGTTCTCTGCACGAGACCATGCTGAAGAAGATCTCGTCCCTCGCCGCTGGCAGCTATGGCCATCACGGCTCTGGCAAGCCCCTGCACGTTCGTCGCAGGAGTTTAGATGATGACCAACTTCGAAGACAAAGCCGGAACAGCCGCAGTGACGACTCAGGGACAGATGGTGTGGCGAAACTGTGCAATGTCCAGAGCTATTAGGTCACGCATTTACACTGCAACTAGGAACCTAAGGGGCTCACTGCAACAATCACAGGCAGACAGCGTGTTCTGTGTGAATGCTGCCTGTTTGTTTCCCAGGCTCACAACCGGAAGCAGAAGGTCTCAAGTAGGCCTCAACCACTAGCTTGCCATGCCTCTCTTACCGCCAAGCCCTTGTGTGGGGCTCCAGCGTGAAACATTTTGAACGGAGTAGTGTTCTGCATAATTCTCCGGTTTGCTCTTCACGCACATTGGTTTCGTCCGAACACAAGCGGAAACAACAGTGTTAGGTGTTAGTTGTTGGTTGCGTCGTGCAGGAACGCCATGGAGATGCTGATCGCTGAGAACAAGCACTTGAAAACGCTCATTCAAGAGCGCGATGGGCGAGCCAGTTCAGTGAACACGACAGAGGAGAGGTGAGACGTTCTGTCGAGGTCTCAGTTCGTTCCCCCGTAGACTGTTCCTCAGGGAACTGCCAAGGGCCAAAAAGCGGTGCACTGTTTGTGCTGCTTGGTAGGGGAGAGGTGGAGGCACTGAGGAAAGAATGCTCCGAAGCAAAGGTAAGCTCCTCATTTCTGAAGCGGTTTTGCATGGTTTGTGGTTGAATTCGAGACGTTCTCTGTCACGTATTAGATGCTCCCTTCCGGTACCCTCCACGGCATGGCGGAGTCTGTACATGCTGACTCATCTGACATTGAAAGCGTGAGAAGGGGGAGCAGAAGCACACAAACATACAGCCGGTGGTGAGCGAATTGTTACTTCAGGATGAGTTGACCAGACTGCGGCAGCAACTGGAGTCCAAGGGGGAACTCATTGAATCGATGAAACGCGAAAGGTCAGCTGGAAGGATCATTTTAGCAGGAAACTGAAGCCTTAGCGGAGGCACAGACAATGCAACTCAGACATTGCGGAAGACATTGACTGTTTTGGTTGGTTTACGGTCCAGGTTACTGCAGAGCGAGGAAGGGGTGCAGGAACTCCGTGAAAAAATCCGGTCACTGGAGGCCCAGCTCGACTTTGAGTGCAGGAACCATGCCGAGGAGCTGGAGGAGAAGTGAGTATTTAGCTGGACGGATGTAGCAGCAGCGAGTTAGAAGACTGTTTCTCTGGCTCTGTGGCAGAAACAACCTGGACCATTCAACTCCTGAGAGTTCTTGAACTCTTCCTGATGCCTTCTTGCTCTACAGGGAGGCGAGGATAGCTGACCTTGAAATGCAGCTGTTGGATGCTCAGCAGAAATCTTCCGGAGAGGCATTTCCGCGTCATGAATCAGTGTAAGCCCTTGTGAATGCAACTTATGAGGCGAGTGTGTGTGGAGAAGTCTCGACGAAAATACCGAGTCCATCTCCATGTGCGCTGGTTCTATATGCAGAACTGCAGAGGAGAAACAACAGAGGGAGGAGCTGAAGACTCAGCTTGCGGCCAAGGCGGCTGAGGCGTCGAGGTATGTCGAGCGGCCACTTAAGCCTTTCGATTTTTTTGGCAAGCGGGGCGATCAGGCTTTATTCTTGTGCTGCTATTTCCTCGCACTGAGAGCTTCCACTGCGCAGCTGCCCTATATAACGAAGCACCATCAGCTGTGTACACCGTAGCACTGGCGCCTGGTTGTGCGTTGAATGTGTGATGAAGGAAAGATGCGGAGATAAGTAGGCTTCAGGCAGAGCTTGAAGCCAGCAAGGCTGAGATCGCCAACAGGAAGGCAGAGCAGTCCACTTCTTCTGAAGATGAGGAGCGCGCCAAGGACTTAAGCAGGCGCATGTAGGCGCCATGGGCAGTCATCGCTGTTAGCATAATTATGCGGTCTGGAAAAAAAGGGGAATGAATGGCCGCGGGAGGATTCCATTCACCGGAGGAAAAGCGAATGTCGGGGAGATTTTTCAAGGTTCCCGTCTTGTTTGTGCATTGGCCTCTGCAGAAAGATCTTGGAGGCGAAGCTGGGTGAAGAAGAAACCAAAAGAATTGCAGCTGAAGAGTGAGATTTCACTGCTTGCCTTCTCGTATGCATTCATTCGCAACGGACACTCCGCATCTCGGACAATTCCACACCCTTTGTTTCTTCAGTTACGCCTCTCCTGTTCAGAGCCCTCGCTCTCCAACGAGCTAATGCAGCAGAGACGGAGGAGGGCAAATGTTCTTTGGAGGAATTACGAAGAGAAATTCAAGAAAAAGATGCCGCACTTCAGGGGATAAGTCGGCAACTGCTAGAGGTTTCTGCGGAGAAAGACGAACTTGAACAGGTCACTAAATGCACGTCACCGAACTAAATTCATTGGGAGCAAGAGGCCCCCATATGCCCACAAGCACACCATTCACCATGTAAAATTGCATCTTGTGAAGTTTATCTTTCGCTCGTGCATTTTAGCAACTGAACGCACCTTTTCTACCCAGGGCTATTGTCATTCTAGAAGGCATATTTGAGCTTGCTAGTGCTGCTTAAATTGGTATGTCACATCTTTGTATGTGGGGTGTTTAGCAGCTGCAGAAGCTCCGGGAGGAGCCGCCAGCTCCTGAGACGCCACGTGCGCTCACCAGCAGACGCAGTTTTTTCGGGCGCAGCAAGTCAACGGCTTTGGAGAGGGATGCTCTTGCTGCTCAAGTGCAACACCTCGAAGAGCAGCTGCAGAAACTCACAGACAAACGGGTGGACCTCGAGAGGACGAAAGTTAAACTTGAAGGACAGCTAGCTGAGGCTCTGCAAGATGTTCGTCAGGCACGGAAAGAGAAGTCAGACCTCGAAAATAGGGTATGCTGTGACGCACCCTTCACTCAAGGTCAACGTTACGTGCTGCTACCAACCGCTGCTTGCCGGCATGTGCAACGGCGCATTATTTTCTTCGGTTTCTTCATCGGTGATGTCTTTTCGATATGTTGTAGTGCGAGGATGCAAACTGTGTGGGCTGGCAATGTTCCATCTAGCGTGCTGTTCACCCCGTCTGTATTGCGTCGCGTTTGCAGCTAATGGAAAGGGAGGCAGCTCTTGAGGCTCTTCGCGCTGCTCATGTAAGCAACACTTGCAACTGGATTAAGCTTAACCTTGTGGCTTCTTTTTGTCGCCGCAATGTTTTCAAGTGCTTCGATGTCATTGCAGGCGGACGTGAAAAGGCCTCTCGACGTCCCTCAGAGCATTATCCTGCCGCTGCCAAAAGGTCACCCTTCACGTCCTTCTCTCCCTCTGCTCGTTACCATGCTGTCTCCCGGTTTCACACATTCGTACTGGCAATTTGAGTTGGAGCCGTGCGTTGTCAGGATGCTCTAGAAAGTGAATGAAAGCAAGCCCGATCTAGACTGTGCTTTTGATATTGCAGGCCGCGAAGATGCAGAGTTAGACGCAAAGGCGCAGCTAGTGCTCAAGGATGGAGTCATCAGGACGCTCAGCAGCAGGATTGCGTTTTTGCAGTTTGCTTTGAATGAGGTCACAGCAGAGAAAGACAGGCTCTTGTCGCAACCAGCAACCGTTGCGCTGCAGCAAGTAAGATGATAGCACTGCTGTGGTGGTACTTCTAGCGCTGCAGGAGGCGACATTCCGTCCTCTTTTACCTTAACGTCGAATGCATAGGTTCTAGGTCAAGCACCGCTGCTCTCTGACTTACCGTGTTTCAGCAACTGCAGGAGGCGAGGAGGGAACTACTCGAGGCCTCCGCCAAATACCGCAGCGTGGTCACCCAGCGAACAGAGCTGAGGGTAAGTCCTTAATGGGAAGGATTAAAGAGAAGAGAAATATACACGGAACATCAGACGCATTTAGGCTCGCTTCCGTTGGTAGAGCATGTGACGTGCAAACCACAGCAATAGTAGCTTGCCTGATGGCTCGCAACGCTGCGCTGCAAACAGCTTGGTCAGCAATGAAGGGCTCGACCGTCCGAAAACAATACTAATCACTTAATAATGCATATTTAGCGCATGTTCCCCTCCATGCACTGCACCCACTGGGGGATTTTCCAAGGTTTCCATGATAAGCTGTTCTTGCGGTGGACGTAGGAAAAGGTTAAGGCGTTGACCAACGATTTTGAGACGGCCAGTCGAGAAATAGCAGCTCTCAGGGCTGCGCTAGACGAGTCACAGACGCGGTTGGCTACAACTGCTGACAAGTTTAAGGAGCAGAATGACAGGTAGCGTGTTAAAGCTTTCAACACTTCACTCTCAGCTGAGCAAGATTCGCAAGACGCTGTCACTTCAGCAAGCCGGTTGGCGGGTGCTATGTTCCATTCTTGGATTCCTTTCTCTTGTGGTCGAACACAGCACTCGAGCTGCACTGAACGGCCGTCCACCTACTCATAGGACCGCAGCAGACTTCATCCAAAAACCGATTTTCGCAGGACGTGCTCTGTTCAATGTGTTTTTTTCCGCCGCTGCTCTGCAGATACCGCAGTCTTGTCTCATCTTCGCTTTCAAAGATAGAGGAGCTACAGGATGAAGTGTCGAGGGAGCGTAACAGGTCGGCATCTAGTTACCTACATCCCTTCATCGCATATTATGGTTTGGACGGTGCAGGGACTCGTTGCTGCTTGAATAATTGATTGCACAGCACAGTTTACCTCCATTCTGACTCAGCTGCATACCTGACACTGCGCGCATTATTTAGGTGCTCCATTGCAGCAGCTAGTTTGATACTGGGCTTTTGTCAGAAGAGGGCTTTCTCCAAAGTTGAAGCGTACTGCTGCACCCACCGCAAGTACTTAATGAGAATCTACTTGCTGCGCTAGCCTGTGAATGTGTGAACTCTCCCGCCTGCGTTTGCTGCAGCAAAATATTGGTGGGGAAGGTTTACCGGCAGGAGATGCTGGAGCTGAGGAAAGCAGCGGTGCACGCGGGGGGAGTGCCAGGTGATCCCGTGCGGCCTCTGTCTATTATGAAAGAGCAGCAGCAACACGAGAGGACGCAAGTGAAAGCTCAGCCTCCGCAGAACTCGCTCTCGCATTCTAAGGCCGCTCCTCTCTCTACGGCAGCAGCGGAAGGGCAGCCTGTGCTGTCTGCTCCGTTGAGAGGTATGGGTGGGCAAGCTCCAGCGGCCTCCTGCCCGTTCAGCCGCGGCGTACCAGTTACAGTCACTGTACCGATGCCACAAGCAGACTTTGCAGTCATTCCTATGTGCTGTCCTGCGGAATGGGCCACAAAAGTAGTAAGAGAATCGAACGCGCAGCATGCGAGCTTACCGAAAACAGCGAGCCCGACAGAACAGCAGAGACAAGCGGCACGAATTTTGCATGCACCTGTAGAACAGCACGAAGTCGACGGCAGCTGCATTGAGAGACTCCAGCAACCTCAAGCGACGCTGCCAGATCCTGATCTCCATGAGATATTGGATGCTCCACGCGCCACGGCGAGCTTGACGCCCATAGCCATCAGCCCTGCACAAAAGCCTGCAAGCGCAGCCCAGCCTCCTTCAACCAGGCTGCAAACGCACGAGACACCTTATCATCAGCAGCTCCACACAAGGCAAGACGTGGAGAAAGAACCTGGAGAGCGGCAGCAGGAAGCTGCGGCTTCCGCCAGGGCGCAGCACAAGCCTTCCGAACTCACGGGTGCTGCAATGGAGCCCAGTAAGATAGAGTCACCAAAGCAGCAATTCTGTGCTGAAGCTGGCATCCTTCCTCAGCAGCAGGTGCAGCACTGTGCGGATCTTCCGTTTGCTACTGTAGGCAGCAGCAGCAGTGCCGCCCCTTCCGCAGTTGGCACCCGAATGCTCGCGGGCAGTGGCTCTCTAGATGCCGTAACACTTTGCGGGGATCGCGAAGGGACCGCCACTTTGCCGGCGCCCATTGACGGCACCACGCTTCTTCGTGATTTGCAGCAAATTCAAAGCAAAAAGAAGGTGCTTTTCACTCCTGGCCACAGCAGTCGGGGCTCCCCTGTTGAGGGAAACCCCTTTGAGGCCGAAGAGGACAGCATTCTCGATTTGTCTTAACATGGACTATATGCTCAAGTTTGCAGGTAGTGAAATTTAACTGGCAGCGTAGTTGACTCTGCTACTGAGGCGAACCCGCAGGCCACTGAAAAGGCAATAAAACTCAGCTGTTAGGAAGCGGCGTAAAGGGAAGCCCTGAGGGACACGAATCCCAAGGGGTGGCCAGTCGTTAACTGACCCAGTCATCGCTAGGTAAATTCCCTGTGGTGGTTAGCAACGGTTATTTTTCTGTTGCTGCCTGCGCCAGGCCGCCAGCGGCTCAGGCGTCGCGCACACTCGCGAGTACAGCCACGCGCTGGTGAGTGCCTGATCGATCTCCAGCAGCCTAGTCAGGCAGTCAGCTTTTGGCTGGCACTAAACGCAGCCGCAAGCGTTTGTAGGAGTCGAGAGTCGAGGCCTTTAGTTCCTAGTTGCCTTCCTGCCTCTCGTAAGGCACCGCAGCACAGCCCTATCGCAGGAAAGCGCAGGCTGCTGAGGCAGGAATCTGACATCCCCCACCAGCTAGTTGCTTCAACAGCTGCTTCCCTGCAGCTTCAACGTGGGTTGGGAAAGACTCTCTTGACTGGTTTCCTGCGCTGGCAGCATTAGAGAGAAGATTAGATAGCCTGTTTACGCCGTTTTACAGTACAAGGCTTCCATCTATTAGGGAGTGTACGCCTGTAGGTGGCATGCAATGCGCAGCTGTGGGCGTTACAAAGAACGAACGGACCCGACTTAGAGGTGGCGTTGAGTGTGCCACTATGACTGTCAAGTGGAAGGAGGCACGAGGCCACACAAGCTCCTACAGCCCCAGCTACATTCCTGTTCACTGACCGCCAGAAGGGCTGAGAGCCGCATATTGCAGTGATCACCCCTCTAGTAAAACTATGCGGAGAGTTTAGCACAATCGGAAGGCAACACAACAGACTTTCTTTGGAAGAGGGAGGCAGGGCGGGGAGTCCTTAGCGTTTTCTTTTGGGTACTCACCCCTCCAGAGCTTTCCTCTACGTGCCTCTTTAGACAGTTGTATCCTTTAACAAGAGTTTCCTTACTTCAGTTGAACAAATTTGAGTGCCTCCAAGGCTGTGGCGAGCCTCCTGAGTTCCTCAGCGCCGCCGCCTCGCTGTACCTGAGAGGACGGTGTCCCGGGGGCCCCCCGCTGGCCTGCCTGGTAGGGAGTTGGCTGACGGAGGGCTGCTATGGCAGCAGACGCGAAGGCCTCGAGAGCCTTCTTCGAGCCCGAGGGAAGGGGAACATATCTTCCGCAAAGGCTAAGGGCTTCTGCTGCTGCAGCTAGCAGCGCTAAAGATTCGCGAATCTGCGGCGCATGGCGAACTACAAGGCTGCTGAATATCGAAAGCAGCTCCTGTAGCACACACCGAAATTCCGCAGACGCTGTCACCACAGAGATCTTCGGAAAATTGCCTGCCCCTTGGGCCTTCTCTTGGGTCGCTGCTGCTCCTGCTGCTGTGAAGCTGCAGTGTGCGTGCAGCAGAGTTGCGAAATCGCTAGACGCTAAAAGCAGCAGCTGCAGTTGTGCTGCAGTTCTCGGCGAGTCTGACGGAAGGGCTGAAATGCTTTGGGCGTGCCGTAGCAGTGCCGCAGCCACAGCGAAGAGGAACGCGCCAGCGCCTTGCAGTAAACGCAGCATGCTACTACCGCAGCTGCTATTGGTCGGGTCAGCCAGCTGCTGCACAGCCGTTGGTGAATGCAGCGTCGATGGGTCGCAGGCGCCTGCTGCAGATCGAAGAGAATCGTCGAAATGATCCAGATCCCCTTTTTCAGAATCGAGCACTTCTGACTCAGCTAGGCCTGTGCGGGCGGTAGCAGCCAGCGGCCGCAGCAAATGAAACAGTTGTAGCAGCCCACATTCCGCTGCTAAAAGTGGGGCATGCATGATTCCAGACCTGCAGAAAAACACAGCGCATGCAGCACAAGGAATACGCAGCACTGAAGCAGTCTGCAGCCAGCAAACACCTTGCACCAAACAGCACCAACAGCAGCAGTAACAACACAAGGATTCTGTCGTCATCAACGAGACGTGCGGCGAACACTGCCGTGCCACGGAGGTGACCCACAAGATATGGAAACGTGCCTCCGTCCTGCAGGAGGAGAAGAAGTTGAGCAATAGCCCGAGGGACACGCCAGCAGTAGAGACCCAACTCATAGGGGGTCTTTCCTGCCGCCGCAACGACATAGGGGATTTGCAGATTGTAGGGATATTCACACAATACTTCCTCAGACTAGCTAGGACAGTTTGAGGGCGGTAGTCCCCCCCGAGTGCCTCTCCGCTTGCAGCTACTGCATTTACCCCAGAAGCAGCAGCAGCAGCAAGCGCGCCAAAAGATCTCGGTTGCGTGCCCTTCCCCGTATCCGATGGGCACGCCGTAGATGTTCGTAGTAGCCCTCCGGGTTGGAGGAGACAGTCATTAGCTGCTCGTATCGCCGCCTCACAGTACAGCGCCAGCTTATCAGCAAAGCCACCAGGCCGCCTGATGTTGTGGGCTGCAAGGCGTGCTGCTTGCTGCAGATTTAACACTTTCGCGTGCCGCTCAATGTTCCCGAAGGGCGACGGCGGCGTTTCCGATGCAGCGACAGCAGCAGCAGAGAGCAAAGCAGCGGTATCCTTGGCTTCAGGGGCGCCCAGGCCCCCTTCGGCGCGATTCAAAGCCCATAAGAAGGATCCCACCTCTCGCATTCCGGCCCGACGAATTTCACCTTGCCCCGGTGCAAGCGTACCCTCGGGAGTCGCTGCAACTGAAGCAGCAGTCCACGGCTGAGCCGTATTTCCAGGGGAAGTTGCCTTCTTAGCAGAGCCGCCAGCAGGGCCCCCAGGGCCCCCCTCACGGTACCAAGCGTTGACTGCATCCGGAAATGATACGCTTTCTTCAATCGCAGCGACCACGCCAAGCAGCAGCTGGGCAGCCGCTGCCTCAGCTTCGCTGCTGAGTTGCTGTGGCTGCTGTTGGGCTACACCAGCAGCGCCAATCAAGCGCCCCGGAACCGGAACTGCATCTGGCGATGCTGTTGCTGTGTTTGTGGTTGCGTCGGAGGACCCTCGGAAAGTATCCTTTCCCTTGCTGCGGCGGAGACGGAGGATGTTGTATGCCAAGAGAAACAGAAGGGGGGACGGCCACGCTGTGAAGCCAGGACTCCTCTTTTCGCGCAACTCTGACAGATAAAACTGCGCATAGAAACAAGAAGAACAGGCAGATAAACAGAAACGCAGCCAGATATTCGAACACAAGGCAACCCGAAAAGGGGTCTGAGGCGCTCAGCGCAGGAAACCTGAATGAACCATGCATGTAGGGCAGGGAAACGCATACTTCCACAGCTGAGGAGTCCACATATCGGGCTGTAGATATGCCCGAAGCCGAAGAGAACGTGTGAAATCCTTTCAAGCTCCCAATCAACGCTGCGATATTCAGTCTTTCCTGCAGACGTTGACGGTGCTGCTGCTGCAGCGCTTGTTTGTCCTTGTCACCTTCGGCGGTGGCAGCAGCAGCCACTGCTGCCGCAGCACGGATCGTTTGGATCTGCTGCTGCGTGTGCACTGGAGCAGCCCCTTCAGAAGTCTCCTGGATCCAAAAGGGTATCAGGGAAAAGGTAAGAAGAGCGATGTCCTCAGGTCGTTGCCCTTCGAAGCCGCTGACTGCTGCCCATAGAGTAGCTGCTGAGGCGAGGCTGCACAGGGCATCCTGAAGCTGCGTGGCTTCTCCTTGAGAACGAGGTGAAGAGGCCAAGGCAGAAAACCGAGAGAGTCTTCCGCCTTTGAGCACGCGCCACTTCGCGCTCGAGTTTTTCTGCAGCAGTGCCAGCGTCTTCCCCACAAGTTCAGCGGTGTGCCTTTCGTCGGCATCGTCTTCTGCTGCTCCTTTGCTTGAAGCTTGCTCAGTGTTCCTGCTCCCTGCACCGCTGGATGCAGCCGTGCTGGCACCCAGCAGGCGCTGCAGCGTAAGCGTGTCGAGACGGTGACGGAGGAGCTTGAGGCCCATGACTACCAGGGGCCACTCGCCGATCCAACTGCATGCAAATAACAGGCGCTGAAGCAGCTTGAGGGGAAGATGCTGCGCGCACGTTGCCGCTGCTGCTCCTCGAGAGTTGCTGAGCTGCTGTTTCGGCGTCGGCTGCTGGGTGCTTGTAACAGCCAAGGAGTTGATTTGGGCGTCTGAGGGAAGGCAGGCAGCAACACCTGGGACCAAAGAAGGATCCGTAGCCCCAAGGGTGACAAGCGAACAGAAGAAGCGGATTCTCTTCTCGGCCTCCTTCAGGTCCCGCGGGGGCTCGCAGGTGTGAAGCAGGGGCTTCAAAGGCGCCAAACCAGCTTCACCGGAAGTTCCTGCTGCTGCCGGTAGCCCTCTACCTGGTGAGGACGACACATGCTGCTCGTGAAGGAATCGATCGAACGCCACTGCAGCAGCAGCGAAATGTCCCATGCCTCTCAGCGGCCTAAGGGAGTGGAGCCGTGCCAACGAAATAGAGAGTTGCTGCATCTCCACGTGCAGCATCCGCCCGACGGCAGCCCAGGCAGCAGTTGGCGTCTCTTCGGCTTCCCCGTGGCCTCGCTGCTTTTGTTGCTGAGAGATGAAGAGCTCTATCAAACGAGTCCCTTGAGCAGCGGCAGCTTCCGCCAGCTGCTGCACTGCCGGCAGCCAAATACCCCCACTTAAACGCATCAACAGGTAATATACAGGCAACCAGGAGGACCTCGCTGTCACCAGCTGTCGCAGCTCTTCAGCAGCTGTTTTCATTGGTAGCAACGCCCCGCTTTTCAATGGGTGCTGCTCCTGCTGCTGCTGTGGAAGGGCCTCTTGTGAGCCGTCTCTCCGCTGGTGCAGGCGGACAGGGGCCTCGACAATTCCCTGCATGCGCTGAGTAGATGCACCAACGCCTTGAAGCCTGTGGCATGCTGCTGCCGCAGAGGCTTCTATCATGCTGGTGGTCGCCTGCAAGATATCCCAAGGCAGCAAAGGGGCCCCGCTACGGTGCAGTGCCACAGCGAGTGCAGCAGCCGCGGGGCCGCCAGGGTCCCCCGAGGTCGGTACATCAAAGAGGTCTTCCTCCTGGATAAAGCCCTCTACGTTGCGAGGAGCTCCCAACAGTAGCAACGGCACCAACCTGCTAGCATGAGTGGAGGAGAGTCTTTTGTTCCAGTCAGTCAGTGCGCTGCAGACAGTCGAAACTCTCTGCACCGTATCCGCAGGAGGCAGCGTTGGGGCCTCTGCTGTAGCTCGCTGCAGCACCCCATGCAGCAGAAGCCGCAAAGCCTCTGCCAAAGCTCGCACGTCTTCAGGCACCTCTTCAGGGGCATGAGGCCCCAAACCTATTGAACGACCCAGGGCAAAAAGAGGAGCAATAAGTCGCGTAATAGCGGACTGTGGCAATCTGCGCAGGCAATAGCCAAAGATAAACAAACCCGTACAAGCACCAAGCTGCATGCGCAGTCAGCCCGAAACGCCCGAAGGGGAGATATGCAACAGTGTCAGTCACCCGACTGGGGCCCGCATGCAGTAGGCAGAGGACAGAGGGAGGAACAAAGGCAGAAAGGAAGTTTCTTGATACGGCCTTTAGAAATGAACATCTCTAGTAAGGCTTTACCTGGGGAGCAGTTGTCGCAGGGAAATGATGAATGCAGAGACGGCCCGCACAGGCAAGGTTTCGGGCGGATGTGCATTAGGAGAGGGGCTGCACAGCAGCAGCCAGTCATGCTGCTGTTGCTGCTGTGCGCTGCTCCTTCCGCTCGCAGCCCCTGGGTATCCTTGATGCATCCCAGCTGGCCTCTGTCCTGAAGGTGAAACACTTAAGACCCAGTGGGGAGACACCGCACATGCCGCCAGGAACAAGACGCCATCCACAGCTTCTGAGAGACTTGGCAGGGCCCGCTGCTGCTGCTGTCGCTGCTGCTGCGAGAGAGAGATGGATGCCAACAGAAAGGAGAAGAACGACTGAACCTCAGCCCTCGAAGGGCTCGCTGGGTTGTGAGACCTGAGGAATGTTGCCACACACGAAACAGCAAAGGAGATGTTCGTCTGTCTGGCCCGTAGGCACAAATACGGAAGCGTTTAGACTGGATGGATACTTGCAAATGTATGTAGGCATCAACCCTGCGAGTCCTTGTGCTGAGAACCGCACACGGGCAACGGCCTGTACCAACAATGCATACACATATATGTATATATATATATATAATACATATTACACATTTCCACCACTGCTGAGCCATTAGGAAGCATGGCTGTGAGTTGTACACCTAGAGCCTTCTGTATATACACTTAAACTGTTTATACGCATATAACAAAACCTGACTTTGAACCGCCGCGCACACTGGCAACAGGACGCCCCCAGAATAAGATTGAAACTTGCGTGTCCGATGAAGGGTTTAGCGTTTAGAGTTTAGCCTGTGGGAGTCACTCGCTGGGCTGTCTGTCCAATGCGCGCTCAGGGCCTTCGGCTGCAGCAGCAGAGGCCGGAAGGCGACGGCGGAGATCCCCTTGAGTGGCGCCTTCGGGTGTATTCATGCCTCCTCCGTCTCTCCCTGAAGGACACCCTTTCCTAGTTATACTCTGATGCAGCAGCCGAGAGGCGCATCGTTCGTGTGCCAGCCCCTGGCGGCTGTTGCCTTGTGGGCACACAGTCAGGCATCTGGGGCCACCGCAACTGGGACGCGAGGGAATGGCTGTGGTGTAGAGGGGCCCCTTCAGAGAAAAAGCAGCGGCAGGACGTAATTCCTCCAGCACTGACAGTAAGAGCAACAAAATAAACCAGAGACAAACGGGAGGGGGACTGAAGACTCGGATGCCTTTCCGCACAGCCCGTTCTTCAACACAGGCCACGATAAAAGCGGGGGACCTCCCCGGCTTCCAACAGAGCCCATAGCCTTCGCTGGGCTTGGGCCTGCCCCCCATGGTCAAGCCGACAAATAAGCTGAGGGAGCAGCATTCGATTCGAAGCTCCAGGCTACAGGCGGCGGCGCTGGGAGCGGCTTAAGACGAAAAAGGCACGCAAAAGAGGGAGGAGAGATAAAGGGAGGACGTCTCCCAGCAGAGGTATTAAAGACGTCGAAATCCCACGGAGTGATGAAAGACAGGACGCAACTCCCCAAAAGACAGGGACAACTCGAGAAACCTGAATACAGATCGAATGCAGCCAAGCTCAAATGAGGTAACCTCAGCGATATAACAACCGATGCGAGGGCCCAGGATATGATGAGTGGTCATTAGACTGAAATGTTTCTATGTATACCGCCAGCCTCTAGATAAACAGATCTCATAACGGCCTTCCCCGCTGGTCCTCGTACAGTGGGGGGAACGGGGTGGAGAAGACGTATGGTGGCAGCTGAAACTGAAGGGAAATGGGAAAATATCTGCAAGAGCTCGGATTAATGCTCCATTTAATTGTAACTAGTTAAGATCTTCCAAAGTATAATTCCGTGGAGCTGCGCAGTCACGGCAGAGTCTAGTTCGGATAGGAGGGGCCCCCGCTGCAGCCGACTGGGGCCCTGAACTAGTGCTATTTATGGATACCAAAGCAAGCTTGTTCAATAATAACTTTTAATTCACTAATATGTGCGCCTCCTGTAGATCACCTTTAGGGGAATGATTTTAAAAACAAAATCTAGGGTTTGAACTGCGCGCCCGACGAGCAGTTTCTTGGTTTTCACTCATTTCTTTGGGCACAGCCTTGCAGAGTTATCTGTTTGTGTGAACACCTTCTTGTGAGAGGAGATGACTCTGATGTAAGGCTGCCGAAGCCTACATGGTTGGACTCTGACGCTCGCTGCTGTTGAGGGTGTAGTTCAAGTTGGGGACGTTTGTGGTGGGGTGCAGCTGGAGTTGCGGATATCTGTGAGTGATGCTTTCATTTTATTTAAAAGGCCACTATGGCAGCTCTGCTGCTCCTTCTGCACTGTCTGAGCAGTTCAACGGCATATGCAGCCTCTTTTCTGACGTCTGTACAGTTGGTTCGGTCACTGCCTCGTCAAGGCATTTGTGAACTGGCACCTCTCACTGCACCAGCTGGAGTTCCTTGGCTTTCTTTTCTCCTCTGCAACTGCCCGACAGGTTACTACAGGGCCAACGCAAACCCTTGGCCTCCTAACCTCTGGATGACCTGCGGAATCCCCACACTAAAGGGACTCTCCAGCAACACGGGGATATATGCCTGCAGACCGCGACCTAAGAAGGAGAAGGCGCAGAGGAACTACCACATTGCGAAACAGCAAAAGCAGATCCGAGAGGAACGGCTGATCCGCCGCCGCCAGCAGGTGGAGATCTTCAAGGCTCGCCAACGCCTCTTATTGGCTTCTGAGCGAAGCGACGAGTCCAAGAGCAACGAAGGCAAATCGCAAAAATGGAGCAAAAACGCAGGATTGTTCAGTCTAGATGGGCCCCTCTTTGCACCAGAGCAAGCAACGACAAACAGCAATGCCTCCGCAGGCCTTCAGTCCCCTCTCGCCGCTCGCATTAACTACAGGCTTGTGGGGGGTACCTGGAGAAGAGCGCGTGGGCAGGGGAAGTACGTACGGCTCTCGGGTGCCCAGCTCGCAGCTGCCGTTTTTGAGGGACTCCCTAAGGAAGAAGTTGCCGCAGCAGTGGCAAAGGCAAAGCGCCAAGATGAGGGCTTTATGGACTTGGAGGCATATGACGAATCTGGCACACAGCACACTACCCTCGAGGGTCTCAACTGAAACGCCTTTTTGTCTTCGTGCATAATAAACACATTTAAAACCTATTTCAAGGCCCATGGCAGAGTATGTAGTCGGCCCACGGGATGAAGTGAACGCAGATATCCTGTTGTATGTTTTTAATTATGCTGGCTGCGCGCGGAAAACAGATTGTGCAAGAATCCGCAGCAGAGGTGGGAATCTTCTACAAAGCTCCCGTTTTGCTGTGTGGGGATCCCCACGCCCACAGGGAAGCTATTATACGCGCAGAAACGTAATATGCGCCATTCTCTCCGCCTTTGCTGCTGGGTTCGTCGGGCGTGCATGGAGTGTTCTTGTGACGGCCCGCTGCGAACTACACCATGAGTGCAAATGGTGCTCTGCACCATGAGTACAAGCGGTGCTCGGAGGTGCCGGAGATGCAGTCTAAAACATGTCCGAGTTTTGTCAGGCCGAATTAGCCTATCCTCTCTTTGAGACGAACCACAGACAAGCTTGTTGCTGTGAGGGCTGCTGACAGAGGAGGCGGTTAAGCTAAAAATGCATTTAAGGGTCTGCCGAGCTGCTTACGGCTGTCACTGCTCTGTTGAGAGGAACGCTCCGCTTGTTGAACTGCACACGGCGAGTATCAATAGCTGTGTGTGCAGCTTCTCAGTTAGGAGAGCAACAAACGCGCTAGGCTCTGAGCATTGTGGGGGCGCCTGTACGTCGTCCTCACTGCGTAGTTCCGAATAATGTCGATTACGCGAAGATGCTAAGTAACTATGCGCACATTCGTGCAAAAATGGACCACATGTAGTGTAGGGGTTTGTTGGGCACGTGTCTTTACAACCCAAGAACAAGGATAAAAAGGGAAACCAAAGTGAAGGCCGCATGGATCAGCCTGCCAATCGCCACTAAAAGCATTGCGCTTGAAGATAGGCAGAAGTATCAGCAGAGGGAGCTCGCTTTACATATTTGCAGTAACAGGACTGCCCGACGTAAAGTGAGTCGGAAGTTTGCTATGTGTGGGACTCACGCTATTTACGTGGGCCACGTGACAGTCAAGGCTGCAGCCACTGCCTGGACTGCCGGAAACGAAAAAGTTTTTCTTCCTACTGTCTAGCAACTGCAATGTACTAAAGCAGCAAGCTCAGTGCGTTTGCACTGGTGGGTTTTTCCCTTCGCATCCGGCCGTGCTGGGCATTTGTCTGCGCACGATCACCCGCCCACCCAACTCACTGGCTGCCAGTGCATTGAAGCAGAGGACTTGCCTTCATTATAGCTCATGTGTGGGCTAAATTCACCCCCATTTCGAAAAAAAAAGTGAAATGCCCACTGTGTGTGCGCTACGAGCAGTCACTTCGTTGCAGCAGTGAAAACTAATGCAAGGAAGTGTTGTTGCAGCACGCTTTCCCTGGGCACGATGAAATAGTTTTTTCAGATGGGGCGAGGTCTTGAACAGGAACTGGATTTTATCTCGGCGTCCCTTCATATTTGTCCCATTTTCTCCCCCATGATGCCAAGCCACTGCGTGCATGCTCTTCGCTCGTTGTGGCTTGCAGTGCGGTGTCCAGCAAGGCGCATTTTTTCCGTTTGTCCTGGAAAATAAGAGGTTGATCAATTCAGGAAAAGTTATGGGTGCGAAGGAAAAGGCGCATCGCATTCAGCCTGTACATGATAGCTACAGACCTGCGCTAGGTGACCCGAAGGTCACCTCCCCGAGTAACAGCTACTGCGACGGAATCTCCTGTAGATGACGCTTCACGATATAATGAGCCGACCACCTATTTTTGAGCCTTCTCCTGGATCTATTACGGGGGTGGGAGAGGGAAACGAACACGGATACTTGCGCGCTGAGCCAATTACCGGCGTAGCTGCGCCCCATTCCGCTGGAAACGAACTGTATGAAATGATCTCCCATTTATCAAACTTATCCCGTGAGAAATACCAGCATAATGGATGTACGTCAGTTAAGCTTCTCGCCCTCGCTCAAATGATGTTGAAAGGAACCTGGATGCTTCGCCTCTGATGGGGCCTTTGCATCCACCTGACGTTAAAAATACCCAATACTTATATCTCCCGCTGCAGTTTTCAACACAGAGGTACAGCATTCGCAGCCAAAACGGCTGTGCTGAAATTTGCAACCAGTCGTCACATGCCTACGGCCTGCCTTTTCTCCTCATATCATACGTATGCAGATCCGCTCGATCAAAATGATGATGATATAGACACTTTCACACCGCAAGAGGTCTTGCAAGCTACGCGACTAATACGTCTGTTGAAGCACTCTATCCGCAGTAGTCAATACCGTCAACGCTCTCGACAACCCAGGCGAGTAATGCTGCCTGCATGCATTGATTAGCTTTTTTTTGGCGAATGGAGGTTAGCCAGCATGCAGCAAAAGCCACACAGCGTACAAGTTAAAGTTCCGATTCATCCAGAGGCAAGTAGAGCAAAAATCACAGCTAGAGTGGGCTTCCTGACGCCAAGTCTGGGGACGCATCGGAGTGGGTGGAGTGCACAGGTTGAATGAAGCTCCAGTAGACAGTCAAACGGCATCATTTGGCGCAGTTGGTAGGCTGAAACTTCTTCGCATCAGTATTTTTTACATGATTGCTTACAACATGAATGTCTTGGAGACTAGTGGTGGGTAAAGAGGGGTACTAATTGCTCGTCTTGCTCCGCCTGCTTCAATAGGGATAGGCCCCTCATCTTGCCCCAAAGACAACGGTGACAGATCCCCAAAGAGGAGCGACAACTTTGGCTGGCCTCAGGGTTCGCTGCCTCCTGCTGCGTGGGAACACGGAGAGTTCCAAGCCCTGATGGAAGGCATGAAATCAGCATACGAAACAGCGGACATAGTGCGTCATCGAGACAGCACACACGCTCGTCAACCCGACCAGTACCTCGATGGACAGCCAGGGTCGAGTAGAACTCCAAGCCTATCTGCAAAGCGGCTCTCGAATACTTTGGGTAAAACGCCAGGGACACAGTATGTCTCAACAAGCTCCAAGGAAACCCCGCGCGCAGTTGCTAGTTATCCCAGGCCCCAGCAAAACACGGGAGAGCAACCGGATTTCTTGGCAAGTCGAGGCACATTTGACCAAGCCGTGCCTCAAGGTGATCCTCTCCTCGACAAGTTTCTCTCAGGAAGCCAAGGGAGCCAGAATGCAACATTCCCCCTTGAGGCAAACAATGGGGATGAACCCCAAGAAATCCAAGAAGTCGGCATCCCACTGCAACTCCTCTGAGTCTCGTCGTTTCTGCCACTTGTCGCTCCCACGCGCAATTAGCTAACACCCCTCTTGGACTCATTGGTGTACTGCCCACTGGTTGACACTCGTGAACCACCATGTGACCGTGTGGCTCATTTTAGTGTCCCTATTGTCACCGCACCTTCGCCAGCAAGTCATTCGAGAAGCATGTTAAGGTGTGTGTGAAGGTACGTCTGATTGTTTGGGATGAGGGATGAAGCATCACTACGCTCTTTACTACATACTGCGCACTCTCTTTACTCGCATCTGGCAAATCCCACCATTACTTGAGTTGCCTTCAACTGTTGAAACTGCACACAGCTTCAATTTTAGAGTTATTTGGCCCTTAAGGGCGTTTTCCTGTTTTGTTTGGCGCAAGCAACTACCGGCAAGTCGTGAATGAGTGTGCGTGATCTGGGAAGGTTTTCTTCACACGACGAAAGACGTATGACATGACTAGGAAACGCTTGGCAAGCGTTGTGGAGGAAGCAGGACTCCCTATTCACTCGACTGTACAGAAACTACGAGGGGAACTCTCATCCAAACCGTAGGCGAGGAGCTGCGACCTTGACACGATTCCCTTATTTACAGAGGGAAAGTTGCAGATCCTTCAGCGCTTTGGTACTTTTTTGAAGGTTCAGCTTATGTTGAAGCAAAACGTAATTTTAACTGTTCCGCTAAGCTGCGGACTCCTCAGGCTAGAAAAGCGTACGGAAAAGAAATGGCAGCGTGAAGTGAGTTGCACTTTTGTGGGCAACCCCAGTTCCGCCAACAAGAATTCAATTCACAAGCTTCATGCACGAACATAGCGCATCATTTCGCCCTGTTTCCGTTTCCTCCCAACAGAGTGCTCAGTTCCGAGCGGCCATGAGAATGGCGAGAGCAGGTGACCCCAGGGAGATAGCAGAAGCTCAGGCAAGTTCCTGATCCCCGTGTCCGAAAAATAGAGCAAACGCGACCGTCGTGTATGGCTTGGGGGGGAAGAATTCGGTGGTAGCCAAAATTATGTAGCTTTCATCCGGCGTCAATTTTTCTACCTGCAGGCTATTTTCGCCAAGTGCAGCGATATGGGGGTCAACAAACAGTGTCAGCACTGTGGCCGCACCTTCGGTCGTGACGAGGCTCTTGAGAAACACGAAGGAGTATGCCAACGAATGTTCAAGAACGGTGGAGGCATTCTTCGAAAAGGCGGGGGTCTGTGTGCAGCGCAAGGGGCTGCATGTCGCCTGGCGCGAAATGCAGCATTGAAAAAAAGAGGGCAACGCTCCATGGATTTTACTGCTCCGAAAAGGAATATCGACCCCTCGAGCAGGGGACATCAACTTTCAAGTGTCTCACAAAGCAGTCGCTCTTTCAAGCTTGATACGGCATCAACAACAAATCGCAGAAAGACCAGTGATGCGCCTTTGCAGCGTCGCAGCTAGCCGCGTCCTCCTACGCCCGTCGTCAGCTAAGCTAAACACTAGCTCGTCCAAACCCCCTCGCTTGTACAGTGACTGAGTAGAGAAAATCGCTGCTTCAGACGGGGAAGAAGCGCTACACAAAACCCAGCATCGTCCTAAACACTGCACAGGAAATGCCAACGGAGTTGCGCTTACAAATGTACTGGCCCCTTACTGCGCCAACGCCTGCCATCGCCTGTTCCTCTTCACACCCTGTTACATTTGGGAACCTGCCATCAACGCAGGCTAATGCGGACCCAACATCCTGCAACCGGCCATATGCTGGTTTGGTCCTTGTTTGCCGAGGGCTTTTTCCGCGCAGTTTCACAAGCAGGCAACACCATCATTATTCCCCCCTCTGTCTATATGGGCGCAGCACCTACACACATGTGCACCTTTGGTACAAATACGCAAGTGCCTGAGCCTCTCTATTCGTACAACTGATAATGGTTGTTGCTTACGGGACAGCGTAAGCGGCAGCAAAGCTGAAAGGTACACCCTGCGTCGCTGTGAACGCTCTTATTGTGGTTTTTACTGCACAGTCTTTTGGCTTCCACAAGAACCTCTTGGCACTCTCAGTGCCTCTGCTACTACGCTAAAATTTTTGTTTTAAAAGTTGTGTCGATGAGCCGGGTTGTTGTTTGGAAGCTATGCTCCTTGTGGAGGTGCTTGTCTCATCGTCAACCCAACTTGCAGCAGATAATATCCCCTCAAAATCCTTTTTTGATGAAGGCAAAAGTTGAGTTTGTGCGGCTTGATCCTCTGAGTGGCATGGGCCATGCCGTTCAGCGCAGTACTGGGCGGCACGCTAAGTTTATTGTTCCTTATATTATTTTGAAGCCCTATGCATTTCCAGGTAGTTAATCCTGCAGCTTTGCAAATCCTCCCTCCCTGGTCGCAGCAGAACCGATGTTCCACTTCTGTGGGTCCATTCAAGCGCCATTTCGCCGGCAGTGTACATTGGTGGAAATCGCGCCTTACTAACGCTCTACACTCTCTAAATGCGGGCATTGCCTTACTGCCTCTGCACCATTGACGAAATATCCACAGCATTTTCAGTGAGTGGAGTAACTCTCTGGAAACTTTCCATGCGTCGAATGGCATTGTTTCTGTAGAGAAACTGATCAATTCTTTATTCCCATTGTTTTCCCATCAAACAACTGCGTGTCACGTCGCGGTTAGAGGTCGTCTGTGCTGATTTAACGTTTACCAAACACAGATGCTTCTTTGAAGGGCGTTGTATTGCGTTTGCAGGAAGAGAACTACATCGTCATACCAGCAATGCACTCATCCCACATACAAAATGAATAAGAAGTAGCTTAGGCCTAGGAGCTCAAACAAACGAGGAGTACGCACTTGCCAAGCACAGATGAAGGAAAAGCGACCCGGCTGGGCTATCAGGCCACAACAGAACACTTTCTACTGCTCATACAGGCATAAATAGAGTTTAATTGACATTAATAATCCAATTCACGTTTCGGCCGGTGACTTTTCCGTCATTTATGGTTTTACCTGCTGCGTCGACGGTTGGTAGAAAGCTAAGAGGTGTCGGGAAAGCTGGAGCGCGGCCCTACACCACCAAATCAAGTACATATTCATCAAGCCACCCACTCCCATTTAATTGAATTACTAAATATTGTCAAATAACTCCAAAGAAGGTTGCGAATGACTCAATATCTGTAATTGCACGGAGCCGACGAATGCGTGGGGCCCTCATGGACGAACGGTAGTTCCTCTCGCTGCTGTTAGGAAGAAACTAATAACGTCAGTTTCTACCAAGCATGGTCACTTTTCCACGTTTTTGCCGACCAGCACCTGGCTTGCGCAATAATTTCTGCTCTTTGTGGGCCTTCGGTTCGCAGGCAGTAAGCGACTCAGACGGGATCACCAGCGGCAGCTTTCCGTGGTAAACTTGGAGGACCTATTAACAGCGTTGTTGCTTTCTTCTCCTTTCACGCAGGGTGGAGTTCGCTGCTCGCACGTCACACACAAGCGTGCATTGGTGAATCAAGGTAAAGCGAACAGGATGAGCCTAGGGGGTTCCATCTCTTTGTAACATGGAGCCTTCAACTGAGTACACTGCACAGTCCGCTCGACCAGGTCTTGCGGCCCAAGTACTTATAGAAATTGTGCAGTTTCTGCGGGAGGTTTAGAAGGTTTCAGTGCACTTTCCCTGTAGAGCCAGGGGACACCGGGTACGAGGGGACTTCGGTGTCATCTTTGTTCAGCTGCTATCTGGTATTGCACTGCCATGCGCCTTTTGTGGTGCTTCTTCCGCTGCGCCTACAGCAGGCTTCCGGAATATGGCGCCCAGAGCAACGCTCTCCTACCCGCGTGCACGTCGTGGGCCGGATGTTGAGGATCACTTCGGCACACGCGTGGCGGATCCCTATCGGTATGTGTGACAGCAGCATTATGTGCTTTTGGAGCCTCTAAATATGACTGTCTTTTACGCTGTTGGCGAGCAAATGCATGAAAGTCACAGGCTGCGCACTGCAACGGCTGCGTTGCAGATGGCTTGAAGACCCCGAGAGCGACGAAACGAAGGCGTTTGTAGCTGCTCAGAATGAAGTGTCGGAGAGTTACTTGGACACACCGGTTCGAAAGCAAATCCTCAAGGCTCTCACGAAGTTTCAGGATTACCCGAAGTACGTAAGACCTTAAGCAGCTCGTCGCAAATTCCTAAAGGAGCTGCAACTATTGACGCAGCGCAGGACTAGCGCCGCATGCCCGCACGCTTTATAATAAATCCAAAACACAGATTCTTGTTTACCGCTTTGCAGGTTCGGGACCCCGTTCAAAGAAGGCAGTTTCTGGTACTCCTGGAGGAACTCGGGCCTGCAGAATCAATCCCTTCTGCACCGACATGCTGACAAAAAAGGCGAAAACACTGAAGTGTTTCTCGATCCAAACCTCTGGACTGAAGACGGTACTGCAACTGTGGGTGAGTATTCTGTGGGCGTTCTAGGATTAGCAGCTCCGCACGCAGTATCTCAGCGCAGCAGATTTTGGTTAACTACGCGACAGAATCCTTGTGCAAGCTTATACCTGCTCCCTGCCGTAATGTCTCACCCAGGATCGGTCAAGTTTACGGACGACGGCTCTTTGATGGCCTACACCCGCGGGGATAAAGGAAGCGACTGGCGCACAATTTATATTATGGACACCAGCACAGGCAGCCATCTAGGAGATCGTCTGCAGCACGCCAAGTGAGCTAAACTTGCGCCTCAACCGTAAATTCTGTACTCCAAGTACTAAACACTTCGCTCAAGAGGTGCAACACTGCTGGGCATGAAACAACGCCATTGCTGACGCTATACATGTAGAAGCCCCACAATGCGTTGCATATTGATGTTGGTGGTTGGGCGGGTGTGCAGGTTCACGAGTTTACAGTGGGTTGGCAATACTCACTTGCTCTACAATAGATACGATGTTCCGGAGGGCGCAGATGCAAATGGCATGGAGAATACGCAGAATGAGTATCAAAAGGTAGGAAAGTCAACACACCACAGACACTGACGCGTTGTCGTGTGTTTGTTAACGCATTTGTTTAGTGAGGGATCGTGAAGACAGTCTTGCAACGTAGGGCAAATGGGCTATTTGAGTTAGCCTCTCTTTGGGTGCGTTTCAGTTGTACTGCCATGAGGTGGGCACTCCACAGGCGCAGGACGTCTTGGTGCTCGAGTTCCCGAGTGAACCTACGTGGATGGCTTCCGTGGATGTGACGGATGATGGGAAGTTTATCGTCGCCGGCATTTCGCGAAGTTGCGAGCCTGTAGGTAGCCAGTTGCAGATGCCATTAGAGGCAGGCGCCTCTTTAAAGCCCTAATAATACTTGCATGCGTATGTACCAGTACCATTAAGCTTCGTAGTGCGGTGCCACCAGGGGTGCAGCGGTCCAAGATTAGCGGCATAAGGCCTCCTCCTGGAACTCTTGTCGCGAACCGTGGGATGCGTGTGCTGCACGAGACGCGCAGACAAACAAATTGTGGATCGCTGCACTGCCTGGCGCGGGTTCGCCTACCTCGGCCTTCGCAGATTTGCAATGGGTAAAGGTCGCCGACGACTTCGAGGCCGGTTTTGAGTATGTGGCCAACGATGGCACCGTTTTTCTCCTCACTACAAATCGCGACGCCCCCAAGAATAAGATAGTTAAAATGGATATTGCAAAACCAGGTGCTGAGTCCCAGGGGCTTGGCTGCCATGTGCGTGTGTATGTGGAGGGAGGCAATGCTCGTAATAACTGTTGCTGGAACTCTGCTGAAGTGTTAGAGTAGTGCCATCATTCAAAGTCGAGAACAATGCCGGCCTTCGTCGACGGCCTTGAGCCGCATTCTTCGGGCTGAGGTTGTGCATTGGGTGGAGTTGGTTAAAATTTTGCAGCTCTGTGGACGATTTCAGCCGATGGCTAAGTAAGATGTGCACATGTTTACATCTTGAGTTTCCGTTGCGTGCAGACGCTCCAATGGTTGACGTCGTTCCGGAAGCAAAGGCGGTTTTGCAAGAGGTGCTTGTAATAGCGCAGGATAAAATGGTACTCCACTACAACGAGGATGTGAAATCGAAGCTTTACGTCTATCAGTTGAGTGGCGCGTTCATACATGCACTTGAATTACCCGTGGGCTCCGTCTCAGAAATGTCAGGAGAGAGGAAATACGATCACTTTCTCTTCAGCATCACCAGCTTTGACACCCCCAAAGTGATATATGACGTTGATGTTAGCGGGGGCACTTATGACGTTTCCGTCCTTCGACGCACTAATGTAAGTACTTACACTTCTGCGTATGTCTTTGGCACGATATGTTTGCTTTGCCTTTGCTCCTTCTCCCATGTTGAATATGTTAGCGTCGGCAGGAGCTGCAGCAGCAGCAGCAGTAGGCGCTGCCCATATTGCAGGTACTGCAGCAACAAGGCGATCTGCGACTGTTGCAAAGAACAGGACTCATGAACGTCGCCAATGTCTGGTTTCTTGTTGAACAAGCAAAGTTCACCAGGGTCCAGGGGGCGTTGCCATGCGGCTGCCAACACAGATTCCAGGAGGTGGCGCCGAAGTTGCCTGTTGTTATTTGTGGCGCAGATAGATGGCCTGCCGCTGGAAAACCTTGAAGTCACGCAGGAATTCTACACGAGCAAAGACGGGACGAATATTCCCATGTTTTTGATGCGGCAGAAGGGAGTGGATCCGCGCCCCCAGCCAATGCTGCTCTACGGATACGGCGGGTGCGCCTCCTCCGACGTAGGAAGTCTAGCATTGCTTCCGTCGGCTATGACGTCTCTGCAGTGTATTGGCATGTCTAACTTGGAAAAATGAGTTCGGGGAACAGAACCACGTTTGTTTTTGCTGCTGCAAGGGTGCCTTCCCGTACACATGTAGTTTTGCCCACTGGGGTTGTACTTCTTGTACTTTAAAGTGGGTGTTGGATTTCACTTATTAGTGGGTTTTTACACTCGTACGATGGGCTGTAGGTTCAACATTTCCTTGACCCCGTACTTCTCCCTCGCATTTGCCCTCTCCGCGCTCTACTTGGGATTGGGTCTGGCCGTCCCCAATATAAGAGGAGGAGGCGAATATGGCATTGATTGGTATAAAGCAGCAGTGAAAGCGAGCAAACAAGTACGTGTAGCGAGCTCAGCTTTCCACGCACATACCGAAATGTAGGCATACGCTTATGCACAAAGCAGTTTTCATTTCTGCATGTTTGCTTTTTTTTCACACGTCTAATGCATATATGTGGTGTACGCGTGCCATACGCGTGCCAGCATATATTCACATGTGTTTCCCGTTTTAATGCAGTATATATTTGTATGCATGCATATGGTGCGCTCTTTTGTCTCGCTGCCCTGATGTTTTGGGCGTTATGGCACAGGTCAGCTACGATGATTTCCAAAGTGCAGCGGAGTATTTGTTTGCCAAAGGCTACTCAAGTCCCGACCAGTGAGCCTTTAACTTAGTGATTTCATGCAGCAGTTTTCGTCTTTGGCTCTGCATGACGCGTTTGAACTAGGAAGAAGACGTGACTATGCTGCGTAGAAGAACGATATTTTGGTCCTGTAGGTTCACTGCCAACACATAACACAATACACATAATGTACTGCTGTGGCTTTAAGAGGTTGGCGCTCAGGCTAGCCATAATGGGAGGCTCCAACGGTGGGCTTCTCGTGGGTGCATGCGCAAACCAACGCCCTGACCTGTTTAAAGCCGTGGTTGCGAAGGTGGGAGTCATGGATCTTCTACGCTTTAACAAGTTCACCATTGGTCATGCCTGGTAAGCTGTTACAAATTCAGCATTGGCCATGAATGGTAGGCGGTTGGTCTGGAGTTCGAGTCCAGTGACATGCAAATATAACCAACCACACGGAGTACACCGCCAGAGTGCAAGTTTAAGAGTGCGTTAGACCGCCGCTGCGTTGTCAGCTCCATTTCCGACGTCAGGGCTTCGAATGTCCGGCGTCGTTTTGACAGTCTTCCCCAATGCTGACCGTAGAGCCTGCAGCTTGGGCCTATGGTGGGCTTCAGTGTGGGTTTTGACGCAGGGTAAGCGACTACGGCGACCCTGACAAAGAGGAAGATTTCAAGCATATTTACAAGTAGGCTTGAACTCCGAGCCGTGTATGTAGAAACCCAGGATGCGTGGGAGTAGCGTGCTTTGGCTTGATCATGGGGTTCCACTGATGCAGTTTTAGCGAGCTCAGCTGAGCGCACTTGCCATTTGTGGTGGCGCCTGTCGGTGAGTAGAATACCGTATAAAATTTATTTGTTGAAGAGCCGCTGCGCATGCATGTGTGGTGCGTGTCAACAACATTAAGGATCTCGCCGCTTCACAACATCAACCCTGATGTCGTGCAGAGCAACGTGCAGCCAGCTGTTTTGGTGATGACAGCTGACCACGACGACCGGGTCTCTCCATTCCACTCTTTGAAGTATATTGCTGAGTTGCAGGTCAGTGCATTTGAATGTTTTGGCTTAAATTTAAGTAGGCAGAGGTTTCACTTGTCGTGAGGAGGACGGCTGGTGTATGCAGTTGTCATGGCAGGACCCGCTCTAAAATCTTCTTCACTTTACTCTGCGATTCTCTTGCGCAGTGTGCAGCGGGGTACTCTTCTCCTGCATCTACCCCTTTGATTGCCCACATTGACACAAAAGCAGGTCATGGTGGAGGCAAGCCTCTGATGAAGGTGGGTGGTTGCGGTGGCAGTGCGCTGCAGTCCTAGTTTAGCAAAGGAACGTTGCGTTGCACGTCTGTCGCTCAAATTTAGACCACACTCTATGCTGGTGTCTGGATTGCAGGTCCTAGAAGAACAAGCACAGACGTACGGATTCATCGCTTCAGTCTTGGGGCTGAAATGGAGTGGCCCGGAGGTGGAAAAGAGCGATTAAACGCAGAGTCTGTAAAGTATGCAGACGGGAGGAGGCAGTTGTGCCTTGCACGAGAGCAGGCAACCATTAAGCCTCCTTCAATACACTGGCTTACTGAAGCGACATGCTTGCGAGTCTCTGCACATCCCCCTAGGACAATCAGACAGGTTCTCCGAGAAACGCGGCGGCGAGTGCATTCTAAGCGGCATTGCTTGAAATGCTCACTTGTAGAGAAGCGCATACAATGTGAACAATAACTATACCGGCTCTTATGATGCAGCAACTTAACCTTCAATTTTGCACAGCTGAACATCTGAAGTAACCTACGCGATTATACCGATTTGAACCCGCAGGGTGACAAGAATGCGTGCGCGTGCGGGGCTGGTGTTATTTAGCTACGCAGTAAGCGCATATAATTTGTTAGAGTATTTCCAGGCCTGGTGCTTCCTCTGTACGAAGCAGTGCGTAATAAATGCGCATGCAGACACAGCATCAATTTACAATTATGCTGTCGCATCATCATTATGCTTCACGCTGACCGGCATATCTGCACGCAACTGTACGAAGCCAAACCAAACCAAGCGCTTCACCGTCCCAGATGCAGTGCACTGTGGCACAAACAAAAGAAAACCTGGTAGTGGCCGGCTTGACGTTCCCAAAAAGGAGAAGACCGAAGACTGGGGATCATCTGTACTATGAGGTATTCGAAAGGTTAGCAGCACAATTGATGGCACCCTTGGTGAGAGAACGAATAAGCATCTTCCCTTGAAAGTCGTAAGCACAAAACGAGTCCCAAAATGATGATGGGCGAATATACAACTCCAGTTTTTAGCAGCCGCAATGCGCTGCTTGAAGTCCAACCCTCCTCCCCGCCGCATGTCTCTTGGCAGCGCAGTATGCATGCTGTTCAGCTCATCACAAGCAACTGGCGCAGGGGCAACGCGGCTGTCTCCGCGTGTGCACAGCAGAGCTCTCTGTCAGCGCATCCCTACAGTTGCTGTGGAAGACACTGCAGCCGAGGTAGCCTGTACTGCTGCTAACAAGTGCTTATCAATAAACTTCACGATTTCGGTTGCCATGAACGAGTCGTACGCGGGGCCCTGTGCTCACAACGTCGCAAATAAAATCGACGCTTGCTTTGCTGCACCAAGTGGTTTAGGGTCAGTCCTGCAGTAGGTGAAACAGATTGCATTCAACTCGTTCGTGTATCTGTTTCATTTTTACCTATTAACTAGAATAATATACAAACAATGTAAGGACTATTACGAAGTTAATGCGGAAAGAATTTATTTACAAATATCGTCGAGCGTACGCGCTGGACGTCTTTCGTCCGTTCTTATGGGGAAAGACACACCTCCATTTCAAAATGCCCAACTTTTGGAATAATGCGCATTTCCTTTGGCTCTTTTGCACTGCAGCAGGCAAATACCGCACTCCGGTGTCTCGACGCCGATAACCAGCTGCTGGTCGCGAGCAAGTTTGTGTACTGATGACAGTTGAAGAGTCTACGAGCACTTTCACTAACCAACCACCTTCGTGCCGAACTGGTCTGTGCGGATAGACGCCAGCTGTTCTTTGCATCGTATTTGTGAAGCATTAAGCAACATGTTTTCATCAGTGCTGGTGCTTTGTCACTGTTGTGCAATAACAGCAACCATGACAGTTGAGTACTAGCCAATCAAAGGCACTCATACCTGCTGAAGTAACTAATAAACGTTGAAGTCGATGTAAATCCGTCTTCGTCACCATGAATGAATAATTTAGGTTTCGAGGACTGAAGTATCTTCTTGTAGTGTCCCCTGCAGAGTGCACCAATGCCAGCAGCATGCAGCTCGTGACTCGAGTATATTAATTGTGACGTTATTCTTCTCACTTGGTACAGAGAGCAGGGGAATCTTGGCAGTAGAACCAGCCTCTTCCCACCTAAACAGGAGTGATGCAGCAAAACCGAAGACATAGCCGATTCCAACATAGCCGCGGATTTCTCGTAACTGTTCGACGGCACTGCCTGCAGCATTAACCCGCCGCATCTCCAGCAACAATCGAATACACAACACGTGCAACAGAAACGAACAATGTGGCTCGCAGCCTTAACAAATCCATTCAGAAAATGTCTAGACACGGGATGATGGGGATGCCCCTTACCACCAATGGGGGCCCCCGCTGACGATCCAACAATGATGATATTTTGAGCTTGAAGATACTTAACGCACCAAGAGCAAACAGAAACAACATCTTCCGTCTCCTTGTGTCCCGTCAGCGTTCGCCTGCAGCATTCGCTCACAAAAACATCTGAAAATGCTTCTCAGGTTACTCTTTTAGGCAAGCTGAAAGACCACCACAACGCGTATTCACCCCAAACTGCTAAGCAGTGACGCTAATTTTCAGACAACACTATTGCAGCAGATAAGGCTGGTCAACTGAAAATGAAATGCAGACATTATATATACATATATTGATGCAGACGCAGACGTACATAAAAATTTGTGTGCATACCTGTATACATATACATACAGCATATAGGCAGCATCATTTATATGCGTTCAATCTGCATTTGTGCGTATACAACGATATACTCAGATATATATAATCAGATACACATATTTGTAAATATTTGTCTTGATTGCGTGCCTGACCATCCAGTGGAGCGGTTTACTCCGCGAAGGTCAAACGTCACCGCCGGGACGCCCCGTTGCGCTACCAGAGTTGCCATGCCGCGCATGAGAGAACTTGGAAGAAAACAAGCAGACACAGAAGTCAATATGCGGGAAAACACAAATGATCCTTGAAAAGCCACGAACTTCACTTTACGGTAGACAAACAAAATGATACATGAACAAAAACGCCACTAAGCTTCTTTGTTCATTTTCCCACTTACTTCACCACACGCACGGAGGAGCAGCGCTACGCCTACAGGGCTAAGGGATAGCAAAAACTAATAGTAAAATTCATGTTCAGCGTTCACGTCTTTAAGTGGGAACCAAAAGACCCCTCAATATCTCCTGACGGTGCATTCAGCACCGTTCGGGAGATATTAAGGGGTCTTCTGAGCTGTTTTCCTCCTCCATATGCTGATGTTAACAAGATCAACACTACGAAAGAACAGCCCTAGCCCCTCGATACGCAGAGCCGTGGAAAAGAGTAACAGCCTCACCTCGAGCCCCCCATGATGGAATACTGATGGACAAATACAACCATCGGGTTTTGGCCAGCGACGTGGTTGGCGGCATCGGGGTGTGCATCCGCCTCTTGCGATACGCCTGTTGAAGAAGGGCCGCCACAACTTGCATGAGAAACAGCTGATTCCTGAGAAGGAGCTGAAAGAATCGCTGAACTTCTTAAAACGGAAGGCCACCAAACCTCGCCATGCAGCTCTCCCCCATCCTGGCGGGTGATGCGAATTCGTTCCCTCGAAAGACGACAGGAAGGAAGTCTGTCTGCGGTAGCTGCATCACAGACACTCAAACAAAGTACGACGCTTGAGATTTACCAACGATCTTGAGCTAGCTTTCACTTCCACTGTGTTATTCGCCACGCGGAGACCGCAGACATTTCTACTCTGCAACTAGAAGGAATGGTGATAAGTATTTTTGCAATTATTTTCACTATTGACACAGGAATATGGCCTTCGCTCCCAGGTAGTACACACTATGTCGTTTTAAACACACTTTTTATCGCCCTCTTCCTTGCATACAAGTCTGGCCTGAAGTGCAATGAAGGGGTCGGCTTCCAGCGGCTCACCCATTCTGCGTCTATCTTCAACAAAAAGTAGAATGGTTTGTGCTGAAAGCAGAGCAGCAATATTTATTTAGACAGTGGATACACCGGACACGGAGAATAGAGTTGCAGCTTTCGGCATGCTGTTTGAACGGTGCCTCTGCTCAGACTCGATGAAAAGGGAGGCGACATACAAGGCGAAGGAGGGGGACTTGTTGGTCCCTTAATCTAAATTTAATAAAATAAAAGAAGAAAAAATGGCTCGCTCACCACTTAGCCGAGTTTTACGTGAGTGTTGCACCGAAAAGAAACTGCGCTCGTTCCACTGGCCCCACTGCCGACAGGCAAGCTCTGTCTACAAGCGTATACCCATTCAGTGTTTTTGAGCAAATCTCTGCACCTTTCACCATTCACACTACAAAAAAGTATTAATGCAGTATAACCCAGAAAAAATAAAGCCCAGTTCTACGAAAAACAACAGCCGTGTCACATTATATAGAGCGCTGATGCTGCAAAAAATGGAGTGGGCAAGCAACAGAAATTAGTCTCAAGTCCCATGGAGTACCGGATTACCTCTAACTCTAACTGCTCATTCCCCACTGGAACACCTTAAAACGTAACCCTCATTGACTCAAATGACGCCCTTAAAAGCACATGAATGCAAACAAACGCGTCTCGGAATGCCAGCAAACATCAACACAGGCGTCGGCCGAACACTGCAGATGTATATTGAATAATGTGCATATAACGTCTAGCTAGCAAATTCGAGTTTTTCTCTTATTTACATTTAAACATTATTTTTTGCCTAGAGACATCTTTCTATTTATTAAAAAATATAAGTTTAACCTTCTGTCTAGTCCCTCCACAGCATTCTACTTGCTCAGCAGGAAAACAGCGTGCATTCCAGTGGGCTCCCAGCCACATGTTGAGTTTACTGTGGATGCGTCGGATTGCCGTGAGGGCGTTCGTGCCAAAAGACGCAACTACTAATTCTAAACGCTGTGAGTGGAGCGCTCAACGTGGCTTGGTTTTTGCTGCAGAGTTTGGGGTTTAAGCGATGTGAATGGGCTTGTCGAAACAGGCCATGCATGCTTCCTTCAGAGCTTCTGAAAGAGTCGGGTGGGCGTGGCAAACACGCCCAAGGTCTTCGCTGGCTGCGCCGTACTCCATGGCTAACACCGCTTCAGCAATCAGCTCGCCTGAACAAGCGTATATAAAATGGGTATGTATATAATATCTACTTTACGCTGAAATAAAACGTGGAGATAATGCATCAGTCAACCCCTTATCCGGCAAGTCGATGCTGCATACAAAGGGCAAATAGGAAAGTGGAAGACTTGACACACCTGCGTTCGGACCAAGGATCCACACACCCAAAATCTTATCCGTCTCTTTGCATGTTAACACCTTCACCAGACCTGAAAAAAAGGAAGAAAACGCACAGAAATACAGGCATCTATTCCAGCCTCTATAACTTCAGGAATGCCTGTCCTGCATGTAGTCGGGGATACATCCCTGAATACTTCCAGGCATGAGCAGATGAAACAATAAATCGACGCAAGCGAAGACCCATATGGCTTTGCTTGCACGCATGCAAGCGTTGAGTGTACATGCATTCACGCCTTGGACAGAACGGTCTTACTTCCTGTCTACAGTTGGATCGCTAAGTTTCGAACCCTGCACTGTTACAGCGAATTTAGCGAGCTGCTGCATCCAGTGGAGAAAGCAACGAGTGAGGAGTAAACCCCGACTCCAACACTCAACTAAAAACCGCGATTAAAATCCCAATAAACGTGAATTGCATATATAGACCCCAATCACTAAAAGCGACTCGCCATCAGAGTCTCCCGTCGCACGTGCCCTGCTGTTCGCCGCGAAGGGGAAGGCTCCCCGTTTGTAGGCGACGCCTTCTGCTTTAAGCTGCAGGGAAAGCAGTCCCAAATAAAAAGCACATAGGTCAAAGGACCTCACGACAGTCTGTCGTCAGGACGTTGAATATAATCTAGAACGATGGACACGATAATATGACAACATGTCACTCGCTGGAGGGCAAGACTCATTTTCTGTGTTCAGTGTAGGGTTTTCAGCTGAGCCTTCAAAACCATGGGGGCCTTCACCTGTTCTTCTGTCTTTCCAACGCCTGCAAGCTCAGGGTGGGTGTATATGACGGAGGGGATCGTGTCGTGGCGCACTGAGCCGTCTCCCTTCCCCGCGAGTCGTTCGACGCATGCAATTCCCTCTTCTTCTGCTTTGTGTGCCAACATCGGCTGCAGAAAAAAAAAATCGCCAGCCTCAATAAGGCGCTACATACATATGCATATATATATGTATGAAGAATGCCTTCACCAGCCAATTTTCCCCGCTTGCAGGAGACGTGAAGTGAACTCAAGAAAATATCCCCCTCAAGTAATAATAGTTTACTTCATCAATAAGTACTACGTATTTACTGAGCTGTCTGCTGAGCCTTACGCCTTCAATGAGGTCGCCAATCGCCATGATGTGCGGATATTTGGGCACTTGCATTTGGCCGTTCACCATAATACGCCCCCTCTGCAAAGAAGCCAGCATCAAAAATGAAGTAAACTAAAGCAAGACACAATAAAACATCGTATGTTAAAAAACGATGCAAATTGTGGTATAACACCGAGAGACATCGTACACGCAAGATGCGTGCTGCGACCACTTTATATATCTCATTACGGGGGAATCAACAACTGCACCGCTGCACTGCATAATCGGTGTAGTTATGGAGCCCCTGATGCACCGGCTGCGCGAAACGAGGGAGCGCAGATTGGCAAATACTGTGCAAACAACAGCCATATGCACAGCGTCCTCACACAATAAATGTATCTATAGACATACATACATGTATGCATACAATGCATACATACATACATACATTACACTGTATACGTTACACTACATACATCACATTACATTACATACATTACATTACATACATACATGCATACATTACATACATACATTACATACATTACATTACATTACATACATTGCCTTGCATACATACATTACATTACACACATACATACATACATACATTGCCTTACATACATAAATTACATACATACATTACATTACATACATACATACATACATTACACTACATACGCACCTTACATTACATACATACATTGCGTATATACATTACATTACATTACATACATTACATACATTACATTACATACATTATATACATTATATGCATTACATACATTACATACTTTACATACATGCATGCATTACATACATTACATACATTACATTACATACATTACATACATTACATTACATACATTACATTACATACATTACATTACATACATTACATACATTACATACATTACATTACATACATTACATACATTACATACATTACATACATTACATACATTACATACATACATACATACATACATACATACATACATGCATACATGCATACATTCATATATATATATACATATATGCATACATATGTATATATATAGGTAGGTAGGATGCTCACACAATACATAAATGCATATATACAGCATGTTCACCCAGTACATATATATTTTCGTTAGTTTCTATATGACTTCTTGCCTTATCCAGCTCTATGCCCAACTCCTCCAAACCCAAGTCTCTGGTGTATGGCCTGCGGCCAACAGCCACGAGAACGACGTCACAGTGCAGCTGCAAAAAGCAGCAGTGAGAAATAAAACAACACGCACGACAGGAAACAGTGAATACCACATAGCAACTGATGCCACAAAAGCGAGGCTGAAAATAACATGAATGCAGAGAACAGAAACATGTCCATCCCCTACAAAAAATCTGGGCCAGATTCCCTCTTTCAAACACGCTTCCAAACAGAGAGAAAGGCGATTTCGAGTCATGCAGTCATCTGCTCATTGAAGCAGTATCCCCACTACAACAAAATTACAAAAAGGAATGTAGACACAAGGCCCAAAAGGGCGACCAAACAAAAGAGACGGAAGGCAATGCAATATGAGCAGAAGCTCTCCAAGCTCAGCTCACCTTTAACGTATCTCCACTTTTCGCGTTCTCTGCAGGACGCAAGAGATAACACAAAATAACACACAATACGAAAAAGGACAACACAAAAAAGGCATAACGGCGGAAGCAAGCCACAGTCCCTCTCACTTCCAAAACCCGAGATGTGTTTGTGTTTAGGGAAAGCCATCGGCCCCCAGAAGTCAAGTGAAAATGGCGAAGTGATGCCTGAACTCGGTGAGAGCTTTGCAGATAATGAGATAAACAGAAATGTTTAAATGAACGTCATCGCATGGCAGGCATATAGACAAAGTGAATGCATGAAAACAACTTCGGGGGCGCAATGGTGCTCATTTAAATATTATGTCTAAACTCTCTATCTGCAAAACGCTCACCGAGTTCCAACGTCACTTCGTCATTCTCATTTGACTTCTGGGAGCCGACAACTTTCGTGCTGAACATAAACTTTATTCCCTGCCTCTCAAGCAACTTTTGAAAAGCCCTTCCTATCTCCACGTCCTGAGAGGTTACACCCTCACAATCACTCTCGGCCTCCCTCTGTTTCTGTCTCGACAACAGAACATGCAAGCGTTTTCTGTCTTTTCTGCTTGTTCCTGTTTCTGCTTCCGTCGCCTTCTGCCTGCTCTGTCTGCATCTATTTCCTTTTCTTCTTGTTTCTGTTACACTCGTAGCCTTGGGCGTGTCACATGGCGGGTGCCTCTATTCACTTAAAGTGGAAGTATAACCACAAATAAACCTGTTTCGGTTTCTGTTCCTTTTCTACTTGTGCCCTTCAGTGTGTGTCCATACGGCAACCAACAGCAAGACACAAGCAACCGCTTCTTTAAAACTCGCAAAAGTTGCTATTAATATGCATGGAGCTGTAATTGACCTGCTTTGAGACGTAATTGACAGAGCCGCTGTTGACTTGCGCTACAACTGATTCTATTTGAACGATGATTGATTTGATTTGGGCTACAACTGCTGTTTCTTTGCATTCAGCCTAAATATCCACAGCCGCAGTCAGGCCTGATGTAATCTCTGCTTGCTTGATTACCAGTGCGGGAATAATTTTATCACAGAATTCCACAACTGTCACTTCTGCTCCCATGTTTCGCCAGACACTGCCGAGTTCAAGGCCAATGACTCCGCCCCCAACGACTGCCAAATGCCGCGGTACACGCGAGAGCGAAAGCGCCCCTGTTGAGCTGACAATCTGCTTTTCATCGACCTGCACAGGCAAAAGAAGAACCCAGATAAGTGAAACCCTGAGGCTCATGAGGGCTGAGAATGCCTCTTGACTCGACTGTCTATACACCGCAGAGGTAATAACAGCTGAAAGTAGAGGCAGGCACTAAGCGCTTCTCTTCGCAATAAAATTGAATTACAAACACAAACCTCAAGAGCTCCCCCGACAAGAGGAGAAGGTTCAGAGCCCGTCGCCAAGATAATATTTTTCGTCTTCAACATCTCAGCATTGCCCCCGCCAATCGGGTGCACCTGCACTGTGTGCGGATCCGCCAATCTCCCTGCGCCCTGTACCAACCAAAAAAAAACCAAAATAAAAATTGTGAATAGGATGCAACACAGCACAAAGCTTGGCAGGCATACTGCATGGTATCAGCACCCCAGTAGAGCATTTACTCCCTCCAGCAGTTCAGAGTAGCAGTTGAGCGCATGAATGAATGCATCCATGCAGTACACGCATGAACTCCTAATGAATGCATGCATGCACGCATCCATTAGGAGTGTATTTACTTTGATGTATTCCACTTTGTTTCTCTTGAACAGACCCTCAATGCCCTGCGTGAGCCCCGCTACAATTTTGTCTTTGAAGCTTTGCATTGTGGGGATATCCACTGAGACGCCATCAACTCGAATGCCGAACTTCTTAAAATCAGAAGAGGCTTCCTGTAGCAATTAGTAGACGAATGCACCCAGCTGCAATTCAAATTTTCTGCAGCAGCTGCTGCAGTAGCTGCACTATATTGGGCTGAAGAGGCAGCAAGTTAAGCAGCATCGTGCGAAAAGGAGCTACGAGTTTCTTACTTTGTATTTGTGGCTCATGTTCAGCAGAGCCTTTGAAGGAATGCATCCGACATTTAAGCAAGTGCCTCCAAGGGCCCCCCGCTTCTCTACACATGCAGTCTTTAAGCCCAATTGAGCTGCCTTAATCGCTGCTACATAGCCGCCTGGCCCTCCTCCTATCACTACCAAGTCATACTCAGAGGTGCTGGAGAAGAGCCGCCGCTGGGGCAGCCAAAATGCCCCGCGCGGCTGCTGCGCCAAAGGCCTGGCGGCCAAACGGTATATTTGCATCCCTGTGGAGCTGCAGTATACAGACAGATGATGAGAACGCGCATCCATACGGAGAAGAAATCTTGCCAATGCGATTTTCCGCGTGTAGAAGGTGTGTGTGTGTGTGTGTGTGTGTGTGTGTGTGTGGGTGGGTGGG